CCCATAGTGTTTGTCAAATGTGGAAGAAGCAGTTTTGAACACAAGCTAACTGGAGCCAATTTTCTTATTTGAGGCATCATTGGTCAATTCCTAAATGGCTCATATCTACAAAGACATTATCAAAATATAAACACCAGAATAATAAAGCAAAGCCTGAGCTAAGTGCAGCAAAACTTCCCTATTTGGCACTTCCCTATTGGACTTCATTGTGCTGGGGGAGTTGCAATGACCATCTATATACTGTACATTCTATGATTTCGACCCAATTGTTTGCATCAGAAGTTGCTCCTATTAATTTGTTCCTAAAAACACAGAAGACTTTCGCAATTTCTCTTTCAAACAAAGCTTATTTTGTGTGGGTAAAAACCAATGCAACATGGTTATGATAATAGTATATTTCTTTTCACTTGAGCAGACGCAGCTCACCATGTCATCAGTGATGTAGAGGCTGAGGGCTCCGGCTGTGGTGTAAACAAAACCTGCAGAATTGGCAATGTAAGAAGACAGGCCGATGTACAGCATGGTGTCGTTCGAGGACGGCAATGAGAAGACTGCTGGGGTGAACGGGGGCTCCTGGTGCTTCCCAATATTGTAAAATTCCCCCTGATTATGCAAAAGAGATATATGAGCTCAAGGATAAACAGGAGGTAAGAGAAAAGTACCTTTGAAAATGTACCTTCAAACTTAACTCTACAGAAGACGTTGAGATGACGGGCGACGACACCATTGAATACTCGATCTCTGCGTATTCGTCTACTTTGGCCAAAACTGCAGAATATTTCAAGTGACATTGAATGACATTTGTGTAATCAAATGAATTATACGCTCGCATGTGTTGTACCATTGAGAGTTTTCAAATAAGGATTTATATCAGATATGGAATCAGCCACCAGTGGGCAGATCTGAAAAAACATGAAGAATCTCTACTCACAACACAGGTCACATGGCGTAAAATGTTTCTTGTACAGTAAACAGTGGTGGATCTCTCACATGTTTCTCCAAAGCACTGCGTAATGATTTGTCAATTGAGTCCGTAAACAGGTTGTACAGCCAGCTGAAGAAAGTAACTGAGTTCAAACTTTTGGATGTCTGTGATTTCTCAGAAGTGATTGAACTGGTTGTAGAGAATTACCTGGCTCCACCATGGAACTTGATGCTGACACTGCCCACAGCCGCAGAGCAGCTGCTGCCGCTCACTGTGGGGCGTCCTGTTTCGTCACTGTTGACCGCAATCGTTGTGGTAATACTCAGTCCTGTCACACTCAAATCAAAGGAGCCGCTGTCTTTGCTGTAAGCATAAGAAATGTAACAGAATGTATACTATGTGCAGCATGGTCTGTAACGTGTTGAAAAGACCCTTTTGACTTACATGAACAAGTATTTGATCTTCCAGTTTCCGTTCAGACTCATGAAGGCATTAGTCACAGAGAGTTTAACCCCAGCTCCTGGCTCCAGGCTCACAGATGACTGCGGCAGTCCAACATTGACTATGTGCATACTAGAGAGAGAACAATGCTTTGACAAATATGAAGATGAAGAATTTTTCTGTGCTTAATTCACTTTACTTTGTAAAACTGTATTTGACTTTTCCAACAACTGTCGACGCTGAGCCAGACATATCTGGGAGCTTAATGGATTGAAGTTTCTTTTGGATGGAAGCTATGCCAAGTTCTCGTCCTTTAGCAGAGAAAGACAAAAAATTATGGTTAGTGATCATGACTCGAACACAAACATAAAAACATTATTGTGGGAAATACCACAACAAAGTGGAAATACAACTGAAGTGAAATTATACATATAATAATAAATAAATAAATAAATACAGCTCTACAGCCCCCTTTACACTGAGCGTTATCAAATCAAATGGGATAAAGTTAAAGTCCAGACAGAAATCTGACAAAGCTACTGTTATAATCTGCAGCACATGAGGTTTTGTAAAGATGAATCGGCAAAATATCCAGAAATGGGGACAGTCATGTTCAGATGATGTTGCTGGAAGATTTTAATATTTTTAGTGGTAAGAGAAATTGGAGCACCCGGAGGAAACCTACGCAGACACGGGGATAACATGCAAACACTATTCAGAAAGGCATTTGTGAATCCCTGTTTAGCATCTTTTTATAAAAATAACTCTAATTGAAAATATAGTAATAATAATAATAATTATTAATATTATTATTTTAGTAGGAATAATAATGTATTAATTATAGTATATTTTTGCTTGTACTTCACAGTCTATCAGAAAACTCTTGATGTTTCAGTCATGTGGTGGTTGAATGAAAAGTCTCACCATATTCAAGGCCTTTTTGTGTGAGTTTAACCTTTACTCCTGGGTTGACGGCAGAAGTCAGAGCGGTCAGCGCCACAAGACACCAAACAGGAAGCATCATCTTCAACAAAAGGAGAAACGTCATGAAGGAAGGACATATAAATCAAAGTTAGCATTTCCTCTTCATGACTTGTCAATAAAATAAATATCCTACTTATTTTTTCCATAGAACTATGGTCCATTTTTTTTTTCATTATATATTTTGTTATATATTTTTCCTTTATGGTCTAGCAAAAATGACAAAAGCGAGTTTACTGTATAGAAACTGTAACCTAAGCACATCAGTGTTGGACAGTGTTTCTGAGTAACTCTTTTCCATAGTATTTAGAATACAGTTACTTTCTGAAAATCACGGGAATACTTACTTTCTTACATTACGTTTTAAGGGAACAAAGAAGACATTGGGAATTCTAGTGAAGTGAAATGCAGCTGTTGAAGCACTTTGACTTGTTTTACAAAAGTAAACAACAAATTATCGAAAAATTACAATGTTTTTAATTTGTTGAGGTTGTGGTTTTAAATATTTTCAAATGTACCTTTATAAGTTTTTTAAATGAACATGAATTTCACATCAAATATAAATAATACAAACATAATAATTAAAAGTAAAAGTAAAAGTATTCGGTATACAGGCACTACTTTTTCCAAAATAATGAAATACTATACAAAATACATTTTAGGTCATGTCAGTATTCTGGAATTAAATACATTTTCAAAGTATTGTACCCAACAGTGTCAACAACAAACACACATCTTTAAACTAATGTGACCTGTGTTTCTACAATATTTCACACAAAGTTGTTTTTATTTTACAATCACACGCAGCGTCAAAGTCAAATCTCATTTTGATTATGATCTGTTCTAAAGCAGGGATCTAATTCTTACCTTTGGTTGTTTGAGGGAGGACCTGTGTCTGACTGCGCAACAGACTGGAAGGAGAGGCTCTAAAGGAATCATGAACTCAGATTTGCAAAGGGCTGGGCCATAACGCAACTCAGCATAATTGATAGTGAGGAACTTCTGCAACCTGCCAAACGAGCTTCCTCACCGGCCCCTTCATAACATTACTGTGGAAACAAGCAATGGCAGCATGTGTTTTGCACTTCCTTTATTTTAGGGAAATTCCTTCTCTGCATTGGACTCATACAACCTGCAGGAGGCAGCAGTGAGCTGCAGGCCTACAGCACTTCATGTCTTTATTTTCCTCAAACTTTTTCAATTATTCTTGTAATCCATTTATTTTAATTAGATGGTGTGATTGCGTTTTTATTTCTTTATCAGACCTGTAGGAGTTTGGGGATCTCAACCAGAACGCGTTCTTTATAAATCAGATATTATTCTGGGCACCACATTAAACATTTCACATTACAGCCTGGATCTCTTTTTCTTCTGTATCATTTCTAGGTTATACAAACATAATAACATAAATATTACTTTTAGATGCAAGATAAAAAAAATCCTACAAACTACAAAAGTATCTAAGAACATCACACATGTGGTGTGTGGTGTTTTGAAGGTGAAATTTCCCATACAAATTCCCCAGAGATTTGGAAATTAAATAGCTATATTAATAATTAAAGATGTAAAACTAGTTTGGGGCTGAGACTGCTGAGTGTTCTGATAATTAAACTCCACATGTTGATAGCAGCCTACTGTGAACTCTCACTGCAGAATACACAATGTTCACAAAAGTCATCCCCCACTGACAAACAGTGACAGTGACGGAGGAGGCTTCCACTTTGTGGCAAATAATCTTTTTGGAGGCCGTAAGCCTCACCAAGAGCAACCTTTTCAAAAAATACAATTCTGTAAAGCGATTTTCTAATGCAACACAAAGTGCTTTACAGTTTGATTAAAAAGAATGCACATTTTCCATTTTAACAACGTTTCATTCTGATAAATCGCCATATTGTGTATAGTAAGTTTGCTCTTAGCCTTAGTTATGTTTTCAAACAGCAGGTTGCTAGGGCAGTTGCTATGCCTGGAGTTTCCCTTCACTAATGCTGGCATCCTATTGGTCAATCCTTAGATTATGTAAATAAAGGAGCAAAAGCGAGTTGGAGCAAAACTTTGTCTATTGTCTATTTGAGTGATGATACACTTTTAAATGGCAAAACAATCACATGATGTCACATCACCAGCTGAACACGCACAGAAAGACACACGCACACAGAGATTACTTGTATTCATAGATAGATTACCTTTATTATTCATAGAAAAGAAAACTAATAAGCTTTTCTTCCACTTTTTAGGCAGGTTCTACTTAATGAATTAAGATTACAGTGTTGTCATGTGTGTCACCGTCATATAGTGTGGCCCTCATGACAGACCGTTTTTTTACTGTGGCCCCTACACCACGTTGGAAAACCGGATTGGCAACAGTCGTGTTCTGTAATCAACCTGGGAATATCCCTCTGGAACGAACTGTAACTTCTTGACGATGTACATGTAGAGCTGCATTCTGCATTGGACGTTGGAGTAGACTACGTGAAGGCGTCACAATCTGCGCGCGTAATGGATCAGTGCTGCTTCTCGTGGAGCGGGAGCTGCGGCCATCCAGCTCAAGCCACATTCAATTAGCTCCGGCGTTTTATTTTATGTATCATTTATTCTGTTGTGATTGGCGCCAGAGTGACCTTGGCTCCCATCCTTGACGCATCCTCGCTCCACTATGGCTTCTTTGGACGGGCTGGGGGATGACTGTGTGGTGCAGAGGGGCAGATCTCAGAGTGACCCGAGCAGCACCGCGGAGATCCGGCTGGCTGAGGCGCATAGAGAAGGTGCGTTCTCATGGTGTGTGACGTTATCATTATGTTTGAGACACAGCTGCTGCCTGGAACGGTCGTTGTCTGGGTAAAAGCTACAGTAGGTTCATTTGTATGCGCAAAACGTGTGCGCTGATGTGCGTCATTAACACCTATCGGGAACCTTTTATGTCTTGGTTCATAATCGACATATTTCAGCCAATATGACAGCATGGGAGGGGTATCCAACATGTGATAGGCTTATTAGTCCACACAGGCTAATTATCATTAAAATTCAGTTCTTGTGGGATAACCCGTCACATTCTCAACTTACAAACGCATTATATTTAACCTTTTCCAGAAAATATTGCTTGACATGATGCAGTCCATGTGCAGCTCAGACTGTGTGCTTCTCTATGAACAGGACATGAGAGGGTGTTGCCATGGTGACAAACAAGGGAGCTGCTGCAGACCTTTCTCAGATGGACAAGCCTTAAAAATGAAGGCACTGTCTTTTGTTTTACAGTGGCTCTGGTTGATATAGAGGGTTGTTTTCAACTCAGACTGAGCTGGTCAACCCTGTGAAAGTAGACTGTATATTAGCCCTAGTACATGTCTTATTGCACACCTAACTCTGTCAAACATCTGTGAAAAACATGCTAGCAGGAATTCAAATTGAAGATGAGTTTATTTTCTGTTTTCTTGGAAATGTTATAAAGATGAGTGCTGTTGATTGTAGCCGGTACAAGTCGATTTGTGTCGTGTTATGGTTCTATAACAAACTTGTGAGAAATCAAGGGATTGACTTTCTCTTCATGTAATTCATTTATTAGAGTTGATCACAAATTAGGTATTATCCATGTTAATAATGTTAATGTTAATTAATGTTAATAACACATGAGATATTTTTTTGATTTTTTGATTTAACCATGCAGAAAGTCTAATTGAGATTAAGAACCTCCTTTTAAATGGAGCCCTGAGAACAGAGAGACAGTCACCATGATGTAGAATGTATAGTTTATTGTACTTGATAATTAAAAACATTGTTCTGGAATTAGAAAATGTATGCTCAAGGACATGTTGTTTCCCAAACCAGTAATGCCTGGGCATCTGTCACAAGAGACCTGCAGGCACCACCTTCTTTGGGGTCGGTGAAGCAATTGGTTATGGTTGTGTTAATGGCGGCTTTAATTATTTATATAATCCTTACATTTTATTTTAAACTTCCAACAGTTTTTTCTAGAAAATATCTGACATTTGTCACAAAATGTTGTGCTGGCGTTTCAATCAAAAAAGTCAATGAGACCAATGCTTTATTATGACAGTGACAGAAACTTTCCATTTTGTGTTAATGGCGGCACGGTAGCAAAGTGGTTAGCACTTGTGCATCACAGCAAAGAAAAACCTGAGTTTGATTCCACCTCTAAACAGGGCCTGTCTTTTTGCATGTTCTCTCTGTGTCTGCGTTGGTTTCCTCCGGGTGCTCCGACTTTCATCCATCCATCCATCTACTTTCTACTCCTATATCCATTTCTGGGTCAGGGCGGGTGGCAATTAGAGATGTCACCCAAGTCACATAGCACCAGCCCCTCACTGATCCTCTGCAGGTGGTGAGTCCACAGGAGAACAGCTGCTCTGTAAGTGTGAGCATATCCTTGAGGGGGCTTTGGGCAAAGTGGGGTTAAGTGTCTTGCCCAAGGACACAACAACAGCAGACATCAGTGGGCGTCGGTTTAGAAGGTGTCGAGGTGGGATTGAACCCACGACCTTCAGGCCTAAATGCCAATGCTCTACCAACTGAGCTACTGTCAACCTTGCTCCGACTTCCATTACCACTAAAAGTCTGAATAGAATGAGAGAATGCTTGGATGGTGATGGGTCAGGGGCTTTAATGGGTCAGGGGGTACTGCGTCTCGCTCTTGTCATCAATGTTTGTGGAGTAAATGGAAATTGTTGGTACAACAAAAATTGTGTGACCTTGGTCTATAAAATGCACAATATAAATAAAGATTACTGACCCACTATTAACTAACATGATATGATTTTGAATTGTTCTTTCTGTATTTTTAAATCATCAAGTATTAGTCTGGACATCACTCTCGCTATCTCGACCAAAGCAAATCTCAAGCAGAACCATGCACTAGTACTTTAATTCAATGATACACATATGACAAAGGAGCTCTCAGTTGTCAGTGAGTTCTTTCAGGATTCAAAATTCTCACGTGTTTCTTTTCCATGACTTTCCATGAATTCCATGATTGAGGTCTATGTTGAGGCTGACATCTGTGCAAAGTTGTAGAACTGTGCATTCTCCCAGGCATCTCCATGCTCAAATAACATGATTTTCTTTTTTTTATTAAAAAACATTTTGCAAATCAAGAAAGAGCCCTGCAAGCCCCTTTTTGACTATAGCTGATTGGTTGAGTGAGGATGGTCTTCTTTCTTTCAGATTTCTGTATAAAAAAGCTGATGTAGGGATGTGACAGGCCAAAAATAGCATGCATGTGAAAAGTAAAGGAGAACCAAGTTGTTTTGAGAGACACATTTGATATTTTCATTTTTATTTTGTAAAATAATGTAGTCCACGTAAACACATTATTGTACACATGCCCACACATTTGTTGAAAATTATGGGAGAGTTTATTTTTTTCCTGACTTTGTGAGAAATCTTTAAGATGTAAATCAACACAACAATTGATTTTATTGAGATCAGAAATTAAATCTAAGTGCTATGGATGCAGACATTTTGACTGTCACTGACAATTTAGCCTCTTGATCTCAACCAAGATTTGTAAAAAATCTGCTGATATCTGCTACAGTACATGATATAGCTAATTACCAAAATAATTGTTAGTTGAGGCCATAGACTGTCTATTAGGAGTGGACTGACCGAGTGCTGGTGTTGAAGAATGAAGATTTTATGAAGATCTTATTCTCTTTCTTATTTGTATAACTTGTTTGCACCATGAGCCACATCAAATTCCTAGTTTGTGACTTCCTGTTGCAATAAAAATAAATCTGATTCTGAAACAGTTTCTCATCTCGAGGAGTTTACTTTTCAATGTAGTCAACAAGAGCCGGACCGAGTTGGACAAGCTCACTTCGTCCATGAGCACTTCCCTATTGGACTTGATTGAGCTGATTGAGCTATGGTTGAGGCCTTATAGTTGTCTACAGAAGTCGGCAAGACAATATTCGTGAAGTCATATTGGTGCAAATGTCTTAATTTCTGAAGTAAATGAAGCGGAGGTCCAAGATTGTGTCTCAGAACACGATCAGAGTTTATTTTTATTTTTCTCAGCATCTGACGCTTTGCGAGAAAACTGTAACATCAAGTGTAAACTCACTGGCTTCTGCTGAGAAATTATCATCTGACTATTGTAGGCTTGCTTAGTTTTGAAATGATAATAGCATAAATAATTGTATGAAGACCTGAAGAAAATGACAAAAGATGTGCATTTGAGAATCAGAAGAAAAGGGAATTTTGTCTGCTGAACAGTAAACTGATTGGAGAAAGTGTGCCCTTCCCCCATAAACAACCACCCTCCCCCCGACCAAACAATCTGTCCTCTGAACAGTGTCTCTACTGCACCACAGCATGTTCTTCACTTAAATCAGTCAAATGAATAACAAACCCAATTATTACCCTCACTTCACTGTCGTTTTTCCTATAAATAAAGATAATTGTATATAATTATTTCACAACTTGATCCTAAACATTTTACATGTGCATTTTGAAGTGTCCACATGTCAAAAAAGAGTGTGAAATTAGCAGGTTGAATCTACTCAGCAACAGACATGCCGAGCCATGTGGGCATTTACACATAATGTGTCTTGTATGAATGTTGCATGCGCTGACCTAATTCTTTTCAGCGCACAGTAAAAGCAGTACTGCACATGTGAACACAGAGCATCTTGCAGCTTATCCCTCACAGCCTCATCCCACAACAAGGCTCACATGGAAACAGAACTGCAACAGTGTCACTTTATGACATTTAGTGGTCGACTGCTCAAATGTGGATATTTTAGACCTCGTTTGTGATGCTCTCCAAACTCCCACATCTCCCACACTGTTGCAGCAGCAGCAGCAGCAGCAGCAGCTCTGTGCTTTCTCAAAATATTATATACAGTAACATAAGGATAGAAAGTACTGAATACACTTTCAAGATGCTTCCTGTATGTTTTAATGACATTCCTATAATACTATTAGCCAAGATATACTGTTAATCATATATCTATCAGTTACTTGTGGAACTATCAGGCGAGACGAGAGGTCTGTGGTCTTCTTCACTATAGCATTCCCTTTGTTAAGATAATCATGAAGGAATTCAAAACCATTTAAATGAATTTAGTCTGTTTTTCAAATACACCATTTTTATAGATGATGTCGTCTCTCCCATTGTTGTTGTCTCTGAGTGTGTGGTGTGTGTCTGTTTTATGTCACTGGCCTGTACATTAGTTAGTGTTGAATGTCCTCTGTAGACCCAGCTGGTTATAGTTGCCTAGAATGAGTCTGGTGTGTGTGTGAATGGTTGGTGGTGGTCGGAGAGGCCGATGGCACATACTGGTTGCCTGGCTTCTGTCAGTGTGCCCCAGGGCAGCTGTGGCTACAGTAGTAGTTTATCACCGCCTTTATGGAGTGAATGAATAATGACTTGTAAAGTGTCTATGAGTGTCCAAAAAAGCGCTATATAAAACCAATGCATTATTATTATTATTATTATTATAGTCTATCCCTGTGGACAGTATAAGACATAAAAGATCTGACCTCTTCTGCAGTTTACGTACCGTGCCTCAACATTTTCGTAACTAATGCTCTGTTTACATCACGGCTCATGTCTGAATTATGAATCAGGCTGTGGTGGATCCAAGACGCAAAGTCAACTGTCCTTCAGGCACTTTTGTGTATGGTGAAAATGATGCTACTAAAGAATACTTGACTGTTATATGAATTCCTCTCATCTGGGAAGTTGTATGTTAAGAGATTAAGATTAAGAGATCCTTTATTCGTCCCACAGTGGAGAAATTTCAGTGTTGCATCACAAGTTATAGAACAGTAGGAAAGACGAGCACACAGCACAAGATAAATGAACAATAGCTATACTAATTAACATAAAACAAAATCTCTAACTCTAGCATCAATAACAAGTATAAAATCTCTATCTTGAAAAAAATAATGATAAAAAGAAGTGCAAAAGTTTTAGATTTACAAAGTACTGTGTATTCTAGTGCAAGCAATGTGTAGTTAGCTTGTACATATGTATCACTCTACAGCACTGTAACAACCTGTGTATCTGTAGAGTGAGATTCAGAATCATGAACCCGACTTGTGGAACTGCTGTGTGTTTTTATTTACTCCTTGCTCATGTGTTTTGGTTTGATGAGAACGCTGCTGAGAGTTTAAAATCTGCTCTTAGCCAAAGACCTGCAAAAGTTATCCCTCCACTATTCAACACACAGCCTATACATAACCTAAATACACTAATATTCCTATGCCCCCTGATTAGAAGAAGGTGCGTCAGAGTTGATCCACGCACTCTGCTCTTAGAGTTGAGGTTGTAACATGTGGCTCTTGGTCTAAATCTGAGCTCTGCTCTCTCTTTACATCTGTTCCCTCCCATTTTACAATAACCACTGGAGCGGAGACGGCAAGTGTATGACGCCTACTGTATTACTGCTTTGGTTTGGTTGAGCAGTTGTGTTGTGTGTGTGTTTATATGAGGATAGCTCTGTGCAAGACTGGGATTGAAGCGGCGGATCAACAAAGGGGTGAGTTTGAAATCAAATGTTTTGGCTCTTGCTTGTCCCGTGCACAATGTGTAACTGTTGTCAATATGTGCACTTCTCAGTAGATGTGGTAGCAATTGCAATTGTGTCTTCTGATTGTCCAAAATATATGCAAATAAATGTTGGGTAAATGTTTGGTCGAGCCTCTACTATATACGTCAATGTGGTATCACAATTTGTCCATTGACCATTCACGAAGTCACATCATCTGCTGTTCATTCTGTCCACATCCTTATGTTTAACACATAAACAGCCATAGTCATCACTGGGATGTGAATCCCCGTATTGCTATTATTATTATTTTGTTTCTTTTTTGAGTTTTGTAAGGGAATATAAAGGCTGTCTGTTACATGTTGAAGCGAGGGTTGTCAAAAGTATCTGTAGTAGTGCCTGTAAGGAGAAGTATCAAGACTGAAAGAAAATCAATTAAACACAAGAAATAATGAGATTATTTGTGCGATTTTTTATGAACTTTATATTGACTTATTTACATTGTAGTACCATTTTTAAAAATACTATAATTATTACTCTATTGTTGAGTCTTTTATTGATATTGAGTTTCACATCACAACACAATTGAGCACAATTTACTGCAGATGACAAAGATGGAGGATGATATCGATTTACATTGCTGGGTGTCTGTGATAGACTGCATTCATGTGACATCACTACATACTAAAGAGCCATAAGTTTTAAATTGTGGTGGAGGGCAGCTGAAAAATCATTGATAACTATGGTGACTTTCAAAAGTTTCTATTTAGTTGAAATCTAATTTCTCTGTAATTCCTGGGATAATACTTATGAAACAAAAACTGTTACAAAGTTCTACATCTTACATAACAGCTATTGTTTAATTATTTTCTCATAAAGCTGTCTAGAAATTCATTTTAATACAATTCAATTTATTTTTGTATAATAGTCTCGGAGGACTTCATAAAGTTGTCGATTTGCCAACACAGATCAGAGAATCAAACCGTTCAAACACAAGAAATGCAAATATAATATACACATAGAGGTTCATTTGGAGCAGGATGATCAAATGTCCATAAGTGTCCTTAAATGTCCTGAATCATCTCTGTCCTTAGACCCTCCTGCATCAGCAAGGAACTCATACAGGAGAAGATGTGATAACAGTAAAAACAAAAAATATAAAAGTATGCAGGAAATTGGCTGAATAACGATTACGATTAATAACAACAATTTCATTTTAAAATTTTCTTTAAAAAATTGCTTCTTTTCCCATCTGCCCCTTCCCATAGAGTTGCATCTGCCCCTACCCCCTCCACAACTGAAATAGAATCCTACCACATGAACGCTATTGGCTGACTCTCTCCGTGTGGCTGCAGCCTTCTCCCCTTCTACCCGGTGACTCCCCATTCCTTCTGCTGTGGTGAGCTTCTGCCTCCGAGGGGTGTTTCTGCAGCTCGCGCACAGCAGTAACCATGGCAACAGCAGCCTGACCCGGGGCGTGTTGCTTCGCTCGCCTCACGCTTGACCTGAATTCCTCGCCGTGAACATCAAAGCCGCACAGACGCCATTCACACAGACGCAGGCCTCGCACTGCGCACTCGACACAGAGCTGCAGGGCGACGGTTCTAAACAAAAGTCTTTTCTGTTTTCATACTATAGCCTGTTCTGAGCGTTGTTGGTGTGCGGTCGACTTGCACTTTAAGTTTGGATGTATTCTTGGAAGATGCATCTGGGAGAGACCTGTTCTCCCCGACGTTGAGCACATTGTGGTTACACTCACAATATCAGAATTATTTTTACTGCCATCGAAAGCAACAGGAAGTCACCAGCCAGGGTTGCTTTGGTAGATGGGGCAAACAAGTTATGAAAAAGTAAACAAATTACATGTTAGTGCCATATGAATCTACTCGGACTCTGAGGAGTACAGGGACTGGCCTCCTGCTGGGACTCTGAAGAGCACTGTGATTGGCCTCAGAGTCAGGACTAAACATGGGGACGTAGCGTTTCAGATTTATGCAATTAAAATTTGGAACAGTCTTCCTGAAAATGTGAGACAGGGATCTTGGTTGAAATCCAGGTGCTATACAAATAAACTTGCCCTGCCGATAAAGGCATGCATATACAATCATAACTGTCTAATATATAAATACACACAATAGTTATTCAACAGTGCAGATTGTCTGTTAAATGTCTACAATATTACATACTCTGTCTTTAATGCTTCACTAGTGCTGGAGTCAGAGCGTGTAGGAGGGCTTATTTCTGTCCCTTCTCTAAGGGCCTTTCTCTCTGCTTATGTTGTGCTCACCCATCTCTGTGATGCTTCTGCTCAGCTAAGCCGCCAGACACAGCGCTTTACAAGAAGTCACCAAAGCCATGTGGCAACGATTAATGGCCTTTTTGTGAACGCACACCTAAATGGCTTCCACTCCAGTTATGATATAGCTGCACCCGAAAATCCGTTGTTTATGTGGAATCGTTCAAAAGCTTTATATCCATTTTGATTTGATCCTTGATACTGGCTGTGATGGACAGGGATGAGCAGTGGGGGGTCAGCTCAACTGTGGTTACCATCTGTACAACTGTATTTACAATGGAACATCTGGCTTAAACATCTTCACTCACCAGACGTCTGAAACTGTGTACATTTGAAAATGAGAATGGTCTGGTAGATTTATTTATTCTGTCCAATGGAACAACAGTTCCATTGGACAGAATAAAGAAGTATCTGTTGTATAATTAAGTAATCTTTATTTAAATAGCGCCTTTCACAGACCGAAGTCACAAAGTACTATACACATTTGTCTCTCATGGTATAGGGGTTGCCATACAGGAGGTGCATGCCAGAACTATTGTACTTACTTTTAGTGGAAACCTACACAGACATGGGGATAAGATGCAAGTTAGGGCCTCCACTTTCTTGATAGAGGACCAAACGAAAAGAGTTGCTTTAATTTTTTAGAGGGAGCTGAGTACATGGCAAGATTGCAGCTCTTCATTAAATCATTAAAAATCATTAAACATTTTAAAATTCTAGAATTTTGAACATGGTTTCTGAAACATCACTTATAATGCTCCACCTCTGGGGACACAAGACCTGTGAGAAATGGCTTCGAGGCGGCAGTTTGTGTCAATGGAGAGTGGATTCTGGATGGTTTAAGTGGAACAGCTGTCTGTTTAAAATAGTGTTGATCAATGAGCGAGAACATGGGAGTGCTGTATGTGGTCAAAGTGTCTGTGGAGCTGATTGCGTTCAAGCTTTCTTCTACAGATTGTCATTTAAAGGGGTGTGAGACACAGGACAAACCGCTTCAAACTCTCCTTTGTCCCAACTTTAGTGGCACTGAATAATATTAATAACAAAAAATTAACTGTTTAATTTTCTTATTCAGGACCTATTACTTATTTTTGATGCAGTACTGGACCAAACAGAGACTTACAGAACTGTCTAGGTTTTTTCCTGTAATTTTCTATATGTATATTTTTCTAATTCATTCATGCAGACCTCTGTAGCACTTTATCCGACAGCAAATTTCCCTTTGTACAATAAAATCCTGTCTTATCTTATCATTGTAGTCTTTCCTTCAACACTGCCTTCATCACTGAGTGAATCCTGCGCACCAGTCAAATACACATTTATGAACTCTTGTTGTTGTCGGTTGTTGTTGCAGATGTGATGGAGCAGCAGAGGTCACTGCACTCAGGGGTCCTTGTCTCAGGGGTTCGCACTCCTCCTGTCCGGCGCAATAGTAAACTGGCCAGTCTGGGACGCATCTTCAAGCCCTGGAAGTGGAGGAAAAAGAAGAACGAGAAGTTGAAGCCCGCTGCTGGTGGGTTTGATGTGTCTTGGATGGAAGGTTAACAAAAACCAAACAAAAGGAAGGATGCTCACCCATGATCTGTACTTCAGTTAGCAGTTTTTCCTGTTGTTTTATTCTTAATCCAAAGAACTTTCTCAATGAAATGAAAGTTCAGCCGTGAGTTGGAGATTGAGAAAGTTCTTAGGATTAAGAAGGAAACGTTGGAAAAACCTAACTGAAGTACAGATGATGAATGAGCAACCTTCCTTTGTTTTGAATAATACCTGTACGACTGAGAGCTTACACAAACTTATCGCTGACAAAAACAAAACCGTTTATTTAACAGTAAAAGACATAAACTGTGATGTTGTGCACGTTTGGGAACCCCAGGGCATTGAAAGAATCTTGGCTTAGGCTGCCAATAAAAACACTTATAGGCTGTGGCACTTAGCAAAGGGAGCAGTACAGTATGTGTCCACTCTGCAAACTGCTAAAAACAATTCCCTAAATATGTAAAATAGTGGCGTAAAATTCAGGTGTACTGTTCCTGAAGGCACTGGATTAGCAGATAAATGCATGGAGAGGACAGAGCAAGCTCCTAATTCCATCTTCCAGTCACAAAATTCATTTATGAGAACTGTAACTATGTCTTTTGGGGATCCTAAGTCTGTTCTAGGGTGCTCAAACCCCACTGGACTTTTGGTGGCAAGGGGATAGACTAGAGATTTTTTATACACCAATAAAACTCAAATGCTTAATTTTTTCTGTAGCTGCGGAGAAGAAAACCGCTCTTGGACAAAAAACCGATGATGTTTTGAAGCAAAGTCCCGAGGAGACACAGCCAGGTACCCTGATTATGACTGAACTTCAAACGACTACTACTTTCTATTGAAGGACCAACACTTGCCCTTCTGTGTTTGCGCACAGACTCAGAGCTTCACTGTGATGAAAATGGTGACGATGGAGACACACCCACACATTCGGATGGAGAGGACCAGGATGAGGAGCTGGTCGCCCCACTGGCCTGTACCAACGATGAGCTGGGCAGTGATCTAGAGGCCTCCACTGGTACACAACTCATACACTTTGAATATCCCATAACTGTTATTCGTCTTTATGGAGATATTGTGTGTAGAAAAAGCATGGCCTTTACAGAGTATATTGCATAGATATTCCATAGACAGTATAATTGAATGCGGAGAAAGCCGATTTGAACATAAGCTAGATGGAGATTCCTTATATGGGCATTTGTTCCGACGGTGTTATCTAAGGTGGTTGCTAAGGTTCATATATCAATATCAAAATATAAACTCCAGGATCAAAGAGAGTGGATTTTTAGGTACAATATGGTAAATGCGACACAAAGGGTCAGAGGAGCTGGAGCGAGTTGGAACAGAACTTTGTCCATGAGCACTTCCACATTGGGATTCATTGAGTTAGTGGGTTAATAGTGTCCATATACAGTCTATGAGTAATTCATTAGTTTGAAACAATGTTAACCCTTTAGGCGCCAGAGGCGATGAAACCCTGAATCATAGGAGAAAGGAGGACAACTGAGATCAATAATAGATAGAAATAAAAGATAAAGTCAGATCCTTGTAGAAAGTGCCCTGAATTAGCACCTCAAAAGGTTAAAAGCATTTAAAAGTTGGTTAATTCCATATGAATGTAACAGATTTATCTTGGACCACTAGAGGGAGACAGGGACCTGACAGTCACCATCCTCTTCTCTCAGCAGCAGAGGTGGCAGAGACCGACAGGACCGGGGCTGACCCTGGTCCCACTGAAGACGGGGAGGACTCGATCATGAGCGACGCCAGTGAAAAGCCACCGGTGGGAAAAGTAGATGCAGCTGAAATCAAACAGGAAGTGGTTGTGATTCAACCCCAGCGAAGAGCCAGCACCCCTCCTCTTCCCTCTCTCCCTGTCAAACTGCTTCCCAGACTGGGCAGCCTCGATGGTCAGTCAATAAAAGATAACTGATTTTTGTGGCTTGATTATGTAGAGTTCTAATGTGCGTGTATTTCTATTAGCTGCTCCATCAAAGCCAATAAAGAAATCTCCAGCCACTTTGCCCAGAAACTTCACTCTACCCAAAGACCCTCATGGATCATTATTGAGAGGCCGAATGTCTGCTCCCACCGGGTCTCCCCACTTGGGGGCGCTAAACCCTCAGCTTCCACCCAGCTGCATCATAGAGGAGCTGCACCGCGCACTGGCCTCCAAGCACCGACAGGACAGGTGCAGGTTTGACACTTTATTATTCTGTTTTTATTTATCTCATCATGTGTTCTTTGACATGCAGCTTGGACTAGTTTTATTTGGTTTGGTTTATGGTTGGTTTGTAAGGAGAAAATTCAATTATTATACAAAAGAAGCAATTATCCTTACTCCCAATCCACTTTGGTTATAGAACATTTTTATATGAATATAGAAATAGGAGAAAAATAAAACAATTCGATTTATGAAATAAAAGGAATAACATACCAATTATATTCACAAATAAGTCCATTTAAACAATAGAACTAAGAAAACACAGAGGACCACACTCATGGTGTTAAAAAACTGAACATATTTAAAGCGAGACTTAAAACATTCTAACAAAGGAGCTGTTCTGAGTTAGCGTTAGCCGCAGCCACAGAGAAGGCCCTGTCCCCCAGGTGTTCAGTCTCATCTTGGCACCACGAGCCGGAGCTGGCCCCGGGACCTCAATGCATGGGGCAAGTGGTGTTTTAGTTGTGTTTTTTCCAAACTCTGAGCCAATTATCAACATTATAACAAATACAGGCTTGATATATCTGTATTAGTTTCACATTTTAAGTTGAATTACAGAAATGACTGGGCTTTTGAGTGATATTCTAAATTTCCAAGTTTCCCCTGTACATATACAGTTGTTCAGTGCCATGAGAACTTATGTGACGGGTTATTGCTGTAACAACAACAACAATGTAACGTGTAATCACATTAGTCGTTATGTAATAACTGTGAAAAGTCAAACTTGGGTGTGAATGGCTGTGACTGTTTCAGACATGCTGACTCATGGATTTATAAAAATAGACTTGTTGGGTCTGGGGATTCACCAAGAAACACAGATACATTCATTTGATCTTATCAACTCAAGAAAATCATTTGATATGTGTTGCTTTAATCAAAGCTGTTAAAGCTATCTGTTCAATTTACTGCTATTATGTACCAACTATTATTTTGTCTTTAATTAGAAAAAGGCTGAAAATGGCATAGAGATGTGTCTAATATTTTTACTACATCTGGCTGGTTTGCTTTATCTGTACATTCCTCAACTGTCCGAATGGTGACCTGCTTTTGTGAACTGGTTCCATCCAGTGAAGTCACATGCTTGTTTACTAAAATGAAAGTTTAATTACAGACAGTATAAATATCCAGGCCAAAAAGCAACAGGGATATCAAACCGGTCCTTAAAGGACCAGTGTGGCTGCAGCTTTTCATTCTTATCAAGCAGATTTAATCCATTTCATTGAAAGGCAAGTCTTAAAACTTGATGAAATGTGCCGAGTCTGATGAACTCTGACTGGGTTGGAAATAAAACCTGCAGCCATACTTCTTTCTGGAGCCAGTTTAACACCCCTCAATAGATATGCCCAAGAAAAGAGCAGGTCCACCACTGGGAAAGTTAAGGAATGTACCTTTAAGGGTGCATTAAAGGTTTGAATTGAATTGACTGCATCTATAAGACTGCCCCCAATAAATATTTGACTTGCTTTTGTTCAGCTTTCTTCTGTTATGTCTTCAGTTTCCAGACCAAAGAGGTCCGTTCTTCTCCTAAACGGCGACTCGAGGGCCGGCTGTCCCGTTCCTGCAGCACTGAGAAAGAGAACAGCAGCGACCAGAAAACCGAAAACAAAAAGGAATGTGACGAGAATAAGGAGAACTGGCGCTTGGACGAATACTTGAACGATCCGGACAGTTGGAACGACTCTGTGATCTCTGGTATGTCCACACTCTACACAAAGGAGTAGATGCCCAAAATCTGACAATAGTTCTCACGCAGGAGCCAGAGATGATGTACTCTCAACCACTCAGTTGTAACATTTTAACAAACAGTACTGATAGTCCAACAAGGTTCATTTGGTCTTAAGTTGAGTATTTTTTTCTGCAGCTGTAATTTACATTGCATGCACGGATTTTAACAGCTGCAGCAGCGCTTAGACCTACAACGAACAGGTTTGATATCTCCGCATTCGCACATTTACAGCCTTAAAACAAGAAGCTACTACTTCACTGCTAATACTACTAGATTTCACTTATTATGAGTCATGTTAGAACGTAACCGTCACAATAAAGGAGGGACCACTGAACTAAAAGGCGGTCACTTTTTATATTGTGGAGATAGAAAGAGACGTAATTAGAATGCAAGCGCCAGTTCCATTTGCCCCCATAGGTTACTAATTGGATGTAATTAATTTCAAATCCTTGATAGACAGCTGAGGCCCCTCCCATTGGTCTACAGTAACTGTAAAAGTATTCTCCTCCAGAAAACCTCACTGGTGTGTTTTATATATATTTATTATGATAATGCTACAGATATGGTCAGAAATATGGATTATTTTCTACACGGAATACATCTGAAGCTGCAGACACCCCCTTTAAATACTTGCCACCTCTAATTCTGAGTAAATGTACTTGTCCAACTTTAATTTCTAAATTAGGTCTGCACATTTCCAGATTTAGACCCGGCTCGTTCATGTTTGAGTTAGGACTGGGTTTTTTTTCTAGCTTTGTTCTGATTTTAGTCCTGGTTTAGTCCTGGTTTAGTCCTGGTTTAGTCCTGGTTTGTGTGTGGCCTAGATGTGGTGCTGATGCAGTGTGTCAGTGTGACGGCTGCTGCTGTGTAATCTCCGGCTCCAGTGAGATCTCGGTGGGAGATTTGGTCTCGTGGCAGAAGTCCACATCTGTGCCCTAGTTCCTCCTCTGGCCATGGATGTAGGTCAGCGGTCAGTGCGTCTGTGACCGCCACGACTCCATCCCAGATGTTTACATACGACAGATGGACGCTGCTTTGAAAAACATAAACATCATCAGACATTTCTACAGTGCACATATTTCAGTTCGTATTCAAACGAGTACATTAGGCACAGAGGTTAGCACTCTCACTTCTCAGGAAGAAGTCCTTGGGTTCAAATCCCAGTCAGAACAGGTTCTCTCTCTGTGGAGTTGCTCTGCTTCCACCTTACTACTAAAAACATGGAGGTAAAGTCCTCCAGCCTGGTCCTGACCGAGCCGAGCATGGTCAGGTTTCCTTTGGTTTCATCGTTGTTGCTTTCTTTCAGATTCAGATTCAGAGATCAGATCAGATTCATTTATTTGCCATTTGCAGTAAAACCACATTGGAAAAACTGTGCAAGACTACCCCAGTGTGCACCAGACGACCAGAGCTCTTGCCACGGCGCCATCTTTACGGCGCCATGCGACAGCTTGACAGCTCTTTCTCAAACGTGGATGTTTGAGCAGCCTTTTTCTTATTTGCTGATATTCCTGAGTGGTTTTGGCAAAGCTGTCCTGGTTGGATTTGAGACTTTGAAAACAAAGTTAGGTACCACAGACCTAACCTTTTTTTTTTCAAATGTAGTTTGTCCCAACAGAAAGATTATTGGAAAAGTAAATTGTTGTGAACAAATCACAACATCTTGTTAGAAAGCATGTTATCTTTTGCTGTCTTAGTATTAGGTGCCTGTGAGTCACTAGCTGACACTTTGGGCTGAGAGCTGATTGGCTGAGTGAGGGTGGTCCTCTCTTTTTCACCTTTTCTGTTTGAAAATGCTGATGTGACAGAGGCCAAACTACATTTATGAGGAAAGTAGTGAAAGAACCAAACTGTTTTGTGTTTCGGGAGCTGGAGATTTTATTACATAGTTAAAGGTTTTTATGGTTTGAAAGTTAAGTACTACCTTAAGTGCCCATGGTTATTCAGTATACAGTGGGGCAAAACAATCAGACAATGTGATATTCTAGATTTTCTTTCTCATATTGTCTCTCTCTATGATGGAAATTACAGGCATCTTGGACTTGCACAATTATTGGCTGTCTAAACACTTTTTGCCCCTCTGTATACAGTAGTAGGCTATAGTTTATAGTTGTTTTATACAAATACTTAATTTGTTCCACATGATGATGACAATCAAGTTCCTGAATCGTTTTACGTAAGCTAAAATAGTTTTATAATGGGAGTTTGACCTGATGAGCTTATAGTTTTCCTAATAAAATACTAAATCCCCAGTGGAATGGCTAAAATAAGTCTGCACGGCCATGATGTCATCGACTCATGTTAGACACAAAGACATTTGAACAAAACTGAGCTGAAACTCTGCGGAAAAGTCAGGAACAAAGCAAATTCCGAGCTGTTAAATTGATGATTGAGTTTGAACCTCGGATGTGAGAAATGATGTCACACTTAAAGTTGGGGTACCTAACTTTTTTCCATATATAATTATTGTACAAGTTTGTTGTGAACAAACATGCTCTTTCTGGGTTTGTGTTATTATAAAATATATTATCTTTTGTGTACTTGCAAGTGTGAGTCACTATTTGTGGCACCACCTGCATGTGAAAGCCAGATCCCTTCAGATCATTGAAGCTAAGCAAGGCAGGGCCTGGTTAATACTGTGATGGGAGACATCCAGGTACCACAGTGGGGCAGCTGTAAAAGGGCAAACTGTTGTGTCCTCACCCACATTGCCTAGAATGAGTTTGGTGCGTGTGTGAATAGTTGGTGGTGGTCGGAGGGGCCGATGACATGCTTCTACAAGTGTGTCCCAGGGCAGCTGTGACTACATAGCATTATCACCACCGTGTATGAGTGAAAGATTAATGCCATGTGAAGCGTCTTTGAGTGTTGTTTTTGGACAATAAGCTGATTGGCTGAGTGAGCGAGGCCCTCTCTTTTTCACTTGGTGACAGAGGACGAACAACACATGCATTTGAAAACTTGTGACTGTTTTGAGAGATACAACAGCGTTAATTGTTATGCGTAATTGAAATTATAAGTGGAGCTGGGAAGGTACAGTACAAAGGTTCATATTGTACTGTTCCAGGCTAAGTCATAAATAATAATGACTGTAATTTTTGACGCCTTGTTTTGTTTTTTGACCTCCAAACAGGAACACTCCCACGCAGAATGAGGAAAGAGCTTCTGGCCGTGAAACTCCGAAACCGACCCAGCAAACAGGAGCTGGAGGACCGCAACATCTTCCCCATCCGCAGTGACCTGGAGCGGCAGCAGATCCGGCAGCAGATCGAGATGAAGCTGGCCAAGTGAGTGGCTGTGTGGTCACCATCAGCCTCCCCCCGGCTCCTCACCCATCCCATCATCCCATGTATGTGCCTGTAAACGCCAAAGCCATTCTCATCTCTTGTGCTTGTTATAAGGGTGGGTGTTGTTGACAGAAATTCTTATCTCCATTTGTCTTTCATGCGTTTTGATTAGGGATGCACCATTTTGCATTCTTCGGCTTTCAATATTTACTGATGGCCAACTTCAGTTCTAGATGCTAGGCTTGGTCAGGAAAGTTGGAAGATTTTACCTATTGTATATGTTTTTAGTGATGGGGTAACTGGAGCACATTTGATATACTTTATTTTACTTTTCATTGGTTGTTTAGCGGCCATTTTTGTTTTGACGATAAACCATTTTCTCATTGTAACATTTTGCACATTCCACACCGATTTCGACAGTATGCTTTTTTTTCAATTATTTGGCCCAACTCTAGCTAGAAGCATTCATCTTGTGTAAACTAGTGTTGACAACTTGTAACTGAAACAGAAAATACACATTTATTGATCTATGTCAGAAGTACTGTTGTGATACAATACGATATGTCTGTGTTATAAATGACAGCCAACAGCCCATAAAAGAACTTTTTCAAATATAAGTTGTGGTCCAAATATACTAAATATTATAACATCAAATATTGAGCTCAACTATTAGTTAGTCGAGTCTGATTAAAATTCTTACCATTTTCAAATTCATTACACCTGCCATAAGTGCAAGTCCAGCCTCTGTCTGTGTGTGTACACTAAAGATGACAAAAGAATTATATGATATATGAGTTTGTCAAAAACTTTTGACCTCAGCTGCATCACATTATTATTTTACCATATTTTCAATATTTTGATTGTTACACACTGAAGATGTTTTTTTTTTATCTTGAATTGAGTACATTTTTACTTTAACAAGATTTGCTAAGCAAGTAGTTTAATCAAGTGTATTTTATTTTTCATTCCCAGGGAGAGTTTTGATTTTATTGTTTTTGAATGCCTGTTTTAAAAAACAAAAATGTAACTTGTCCCATTGGATAATCTTCTTTTAAGACAATCAAAATGTACTCAAACTAATATAAATTAAGCCTAGTTCAAGCAATTTTTGATCTATATTTTTTACTTTTTCTCGGGCCTATAGTATCCTGAATGTATTTTGCAGAGTCATGCAATGAGTCTGAGAATCCCTGAAATGAATGAACGCGCTGTTACATCGTTGCCCTGCGTGTGTTTTTAATTATGTTTTTAAAGTGCGCAGACGGATTTGGTAAAAAGCTGTAGAGGAATGCAAAGCAAAATATAATTACGTTTGACATTACGTAAAAGTTGTTGTTACGGCGTCTTTAATAGGATTATCTTTGGAAGCATGTTGTTTGTTTAATGAAGTAGGGAGCTGCTGGGTTTACGTAACCTTCTCACAGGCACACTCCATATTTACTGTTTGTCCTAGAAGTGGCACGGTTAAACACAGCTGTCTTCATGAGAGCGTGTAAATAATACCTGTTGACTCTGAACATTGTGCTTAGACCCTCAGAAGTAACAATAACAAACAAGTTAGGTAATACATTCATTCAAGCTGAAAAACAATGTAATTTACTTTTAAAATCAATCAATTTTCTTCCTTACTCGCAAAACAATTTGGTTCCATTACTAGTTTGCACATGCACTGTCTTTCACGTCTTTGGATTAGATTATTCAGACAGGAAACTGAATACATAGGACCACCCTCTCTCAGCCAATCAGCTCTCAGCACATAGCGTGAAGTCCTGACACGTTTTTATGGGCAAGTTGGAGGTACTATGCTGGAGGCCCCCCAAACAGATGCCCGAGCCACCTGTACTGGCTGCTCACCATGTAAAGTAGCAGCAGCTCTACTCCGAGCTCCTCCTGTGTGACTGAGCTCTTCATCCTATCTCTGAGGGAGCGCCCAGCCACTCTGCGGAAAAAACTAATTTCGACCGCTTGTATCCGCGATCTCGTTCTTTCGTCATTACCCATAGGTGAGGGAGGGAACATAGATCAACCCATAAATCAAGAACTTTGCCTTTTGACTCAGCTCCATCTTCATTGCAGCAGTCTAATACAGCTCTGACTGCAGACGCTGCTCCCTCTTCACCACAACAGTTGGATACAGTGATCGCGTCACTGCACACGCTGCATCGATCCTCCTTTCAATCTTCCCTCTCTCGTAACAAAACCCTGAGATACTTGAACTACCCACTTGAGTAAGAACCTCTGCTCTTGGAGAGGGCAACGCACCTTTTTCGAACACAATTGCAACAAATAAAATGTATTATTCATGGGGGAGAAAGTAGATCCTGTTCCTTGTAAGAAAGGGCTGAATGTGAAGAATGTGACTCAGTATTTGACCCTTTGGGCTGTTTGAGAACGGTCATGTCTACTTTTATTTTCTGCCTGATAAAGCGGTTATAAAGCTGTGCTAATGCAAATATTCACAGTTAGAATGAATTGCTTATTCATGAATTAGTTTGAAAGATTTAACTATCCTATTTTCTTCTCTCACTCGTTAAAACTCCTCCATGTGGAAGGTCTATTCTCATGTTTCCTCTCTTGGGGTCTGTCTTAGTTTGCTGCGTTTGGAATACAGCACTATACAACAATACAAAGAAGTAACAAATCATTTCAATACCGACTTCACAAACTCTAATAATGCGGTCCTCTGTGAAGCGACCCGTGGGTCTGACATAACACCACAGATGCGACTCTATCTCTGTCACTTTCCTGTTGGTTAAAGACGCATTCATAATTCACTGTTACTCAACTAGCAAAGTCAAAAGAGTGGATTATTACTCCGACTTTTGCTTCTGCATTCCTATTGAGCGTGGCACATAACGCAGGCAATGCATGGAAACTGTAAGCAGCAGGTAACTATGACTCCTGTGTGAGATTCCTCTGTGAGAAAGCTATTGCATAATTGTCCCAAACATGGAAGGTTATCATTAAGACAAATGGCGGGTGCAGTTTCATGCCATTGCAGCTGCCATGATATCTCACACACTGCCGTTAAACAAGCTCTCTCACCACGGCCCTGTCTTTGTCCAGGCCCACTGCTCCAGCTCATTCAATGGGGATTAATAATGCTGTCCAGGATCTAGGTCTTAGGCCGGCCCCGTACCCTCCAAAGCATTTCACAGCTGGGTGTGGATGTTGTTGGAAGCTGCGATGATAAATCAAGCCTTCTTTGTTCCCTGTGAGGTGCCTGCAGATAGTAATAAACTGAACTGGAGATCACAATGTCAATGTTTTGTGTTACATTTATTATAGGGGGAATTAGTCATGGCTATATTCGCTCACAAAAACACTTCTTACCTTTCCTCGAAGTCCATGTATATGCAGGCTAAAAGTCTAAAATGCTGTTTTTGTGTATACTTATTTATTGTTACGCGCCCCGGCGTAAGCTTTCTCTCCTCCTCCGATGAAGATCTTTCAGCTCCGCCCTGATTGGCTGGCGGTTCACCCAAAAGCAGCAAGTGTGCTGATGGCCTCTCTCTCTCTCCCTCCAGCCCTCGACACACTGGTCCCGACCACGTTCTGGGACAGACGTGTCAGGCCAACGCCACTTGGTTTTTCGTATGATTTGATTTTACACGCACTTGCACCCACCACGTACATTTACACATAAGGTTATCCTACTGATATTACTTGCATTACACGCAGCCACTCATATTACACTCACACTGGCCGCAGTAATACATTATTATTATTATTATCATTTGTCAATAAATGCCAACAGGCCTAAAATCTGCTTGTGGTGTCGTTCCCCCTTTTTCCTTTGTTGCAGCCACCGAGCCGGGCTGTAACATTAAGCTCTATATAAGTTTTGGCTGAGAGAGGATTGGCTAAGCACGAGTGGTCCTCTCTTTTTCCCTTTTCTTATGTCAATAAATAGACATTTCAGTGTTGCATCACAAGTTACAGAACAGTAGAAATGAGGAGCCCACCGCACAAGATAAATGAATAAAAACTCTATACTAAAATAAGATAAAATCTCTAACTCTTGCTTAAAAAGAAGCAGTATTAATTCTTTATCTTTAGCATAATAAGGAAAGAAGTCTTAAAATCTCTTAATACCATCGATCCATCCATCCGTTTTCTTCCGCTTCATCCGTTGCCGGGTCGTGGGGGCAGCAGTCTAAGCAGAGACACCCAGACTTCCCTATCCACACACACCTCTTCCAGCTCGTCCGGGGGGACCCCAAGGCGTTCCCAGGCCAGCTGAGAGACGTAGTCCCTCCTGTGTGTCCTGGGTCTTCCCCGGGGCCTCCTCCCGGTGGGACGTGCCCGGAACACCTTCCCAGGGAGGCGTCCAGGAGGCATCCGGAACAGATGCCCGAGCAGCATAGAGAAGCAGCGGCTCTACTCCGAGCTCCTCCCGTGTGACTCAGCTCCTCACCCTATCTCTGAGGGAGCGCCCAGCCACTCTGCGCAGGAAGCTCATTTTGCCAAGAGCCAGATGTTGTGTGTGCGGACTGGGTCGCCGAGGTCTCCGCCTTCGACCGCTGCCTTGTCCTCTCAGCACCCAACCACCACGGACCCCTCTGCGGGTGGTGGGCCCACAGGAGGGACTGCCCACGTCATCCCTTCGGGCTGAGCCCGGTCGGGCCCCGTGGGCTAAGGCCCGGCCACCAGGCGCTCGCATTCGAGCCCCAACCCCAGGCCTGGCTCCAGGGTGGGGCCTCGGCTGCGTCCATGCCGGGCGACGTCACTGCTCTTGTTATAGTGCGATCCATGGTGGTTTTTGGACCGCTCTTCGTCTGACTCGTCACCCGAGACCCGTCTGCCATGGGAGACCTTACCAGGGGCATGAAGCCCCAGACAGCATAGCTCCCAGGGTCATCCGAGTACTCAAACTCCCCCAACACATTAAGGTGGCAGTCCAGGGGGGGAGATCTCTAAATACATGCATTTTAAACTTAAAAAAACAGCTATAGGAGAGCTATAGGAACTAGTTAGAATTTATTTCACAGTTCCATTTG